GAAGTCAAACATACACACACAGCTCATACATTAGAAAAGGGGCGTATAAAGCCATTGCTTTAGTGTAATTAATGGAGATTCGTGGCCCTGCTTCTCAGTTTATAGCATATGGAATACTTAGGTATATCTGCACAAATTAATGAGCAAACAACATGCTTCAGCTCAGATATGAATTTATATCCAGACTGCAGACTTCTTCAGCATTAGCATCTCATCCATACCTCTAACAGAGATTACAAAGGCACAGAAGATGCTGCAATAATATGACTAATTCCTCCAGAGTGTTAATTTTGGTAGGGAGGTAAGTATTGCCCAGAAATCTCACAGGACAAACAAAAAAATCATTTTTACCTACTAGAGGTTTGTTGCGTTGTTTGACAGTTAGTGATATTCTGTCAAAGGACTTTCTACAGATGAATTGCTCTGCCAGCATTTCATGTAGACTGACCTAATACTTTTTTAATAATAACATTCATTCATGGAAGCTATCTGCTTAATTTCACCTCTTCTTCTGGAGCCTGTACTTAAGTGGTTTGGGTTGATGAATGTTATTTCCAGACACTTTCTAAGATAAAGCAGTGGGCAGAAGTTTAATCTTCCCTGTGATTCAAACTGAAGAAAAATAATTCTCTTCTAACTTGAGAACAGTCTGTTACTGAATTTAATTTAATAATCATTGGCTTTTAAAAATACAGACAGTTTCAGCTCAAGTTCTTCAGTTCCAGCTACCTGTTTCAGTAGTGAATTTGCTTCTAGCATGACATGTGTAAGTACATCAGTATTTAAAAGCAAGTCTGGAACTGCCACTGGAAAAATGTAAAAGACTGCTGTTCAAACAACTAATCATAAAAGATTCAAAAATTGACTGTCTTGCCACAGTCTACCAATCATTCTTTTCTGAAGCATTTCCAAATGTCAGGAAACTAAAATCAGATAAATCTATGTCAAATATTTACCAGGAATGCACGTATAAAGTGTGGTCAGTTGGCAGATTCTTGATTCCTACTTACAGCTATGTCTAAACCCACATTAAGAAAAGATGCTTGACAACCTTTGCTTATAAGCACTGAGAGAGCCAGAAACTCGTTTATCCCTTTAGCCTGCTCTACAAACACTATGCAGCAGCACACATGAGCCCAGTGGCCAAAAAGAGACTATCACCCTGAACTCCAAACTGAGAGGTAACATCAAACCAAGATGGGAGGGAGCAGCCACTGTCTGGGCTGATGGCAGGAGGGCCCTGTCTGGGATGGAGTATTAACAGAACCTCTGCATGTGGTCAGACTTCGGTTAGATTAATATACATCTTATGATCACCACAGATTTTTGCACAAATTTGCCTTAATATACCAATTGCAGATAAACACATTCCTTTAACTCCTCCACCTGCCAAAAAAAAACAAACCAAAGCAAAACAAAATGGGCTTCTTTTCTTCTTCCCATACTATAAGAGAAGAACCCTAGAAGTCAGTTTCAGCTGGTATGTGGAAGATCATGCACAGGTAGCGACAGCATTTAGAGATCTGAAATTCTAGATGGGAAGACTGAACATGGATGGGTTTTGAACATCAGAATCTCTTAATTCATAGAAGGGTCAAAACAAGAAATGTAGAAACTTAGCAGCATGTGGAGACCCAGAAATTCTAAAGAGATTCTAAATAAGACTTCATTTTTTTTCTGACCAGGTCCCCAGTCCTAGAAGGCTGATTTTCCAGAAGAGCATAGGAAATTCGCTGTTTCATAGACTTCATCTCTAAACTTACCCTGGATTCCATGCTCTTAAAGATTAGTCCTACCTACAACACATCTCAGAATTAATCACAAGAAAGTGCAGAAAAGTATGGGCCAAATTCTAAAGTGCTACTGTCCTGTGTACAGCATTATCACTAACAACCAACTGCAATGTGGGTTGTGGGATTTAGGAGTGCATGTTGTCTTCCTTAAGACCTATTTTTTGGAACCAAGGAATATAGGAAAACAACACATCTTTTGTTGGGAAAGAAAAAAATACATAGTTCTACAAGTACTAATGCACAGCTCCGATAGAAACGTTATGAACTTCAAGCAAAAAATCCATAAATATCCTAAGGAATCTCAATTGACTTGCTAGTTCTTCTACTGAGGAGAGGTTTAAAGCTATGATGCAAATTGCATGAGCCAAGCGAAAAGAACACAAAATATAGTTTTAAATCTATTTATGATTAAGAGCTTAATTCAGTTTCTCACATTCTTTTTTTTTTATAGCTACCCTAATTCTGCAATATATCCTTAGAGTACTAAACTCAAAAAATCTACAGTACAGAGAAGTCATAAACTAAAAAGTGAGGTCTGTTGGGCAATGCTATGTCATCAACATCACTGAATATCACTGAAACACAGCTTCCAGGTGGCATAAGTGAGTAAGTGCTTTTGCCCTAGGGAAGATTTCAAAATACTTTCTGCTCAGAAGCGTTAGTGGTTGTCAGTCTTCCTGTGAAAAAAAGAAATAGTAACAATTTGTACCTTTGGATATTAAAAATAGGCACGCACTGTCTGTACAGCAAAAAGCTGCACAAGCAAGCAGCCAGGGAAGTACGAAAACTTACCAAAGCCTGAAAGGAGTTCTGCAAATGACTAAACTCCAGGAGAAAAGAGTGGATTTTCCTCATAGCTTTACACTGGATCAATTATAAAAAGCAGTGAAACTAGTACCATTACTAATAACAAGTAACTGGAGCCTGGTAAGCACAGTAAGGGTGTCCTCTAACGGTTATCATTTTCCTGACCTTACCACACTTACTGTAACCTCTGCCTTATATAACTGTACCCCACTTACCGTAACCTTTATGCTACCTCATCAAGGCTGCACAAAGCCAGCCACGGCACCACACATTTACATGGTGGTGCCATGCTGAATGTGACAAGCAATTAGTTACACCCTGAAACTACCTGCTTGGCCTTGCCCGACCCAAGCAGCACAGCTCATCCACCCCACTCTCCCCTTAGCAGCAATAACACACTCCTACTTCTCGATCCCCGCGGCCCCCCACCACCGCTGCCTCGCCGTACCCCCGGGACAAAGGCGAGGCCCCCGGAGGCAGCGGGCTTCGAGGCCCGGGGGCCTGCGGGTCCCAGGCCCGGCAGCGGGCTGGCGGACGGGACCCCCTGGGCTGGGTCCGCGGCCCTGCCCGTGCCCGTGCCCGTGCCCGTGCCCGTGCCCGGCTGGCTGGCTGACAGCCGCCGCGGGGACTCCGCAAGCGAACGGTGATGCGGCCGCCCCCTTCACACCCTCAGAGTCTGGCGGGACTCCCCCACAGACGCTCGGACGGCCACCAGTCCGTTCCTCGCTCCCCTCCTTACCCTCCAGGCCTGGTCAAAGTGGAAGTCCCGGGCGCGCAGGAACCGCACCAGAAAAGAGTCGCTGAGGGGCTGCGGCCAGCGCTGGCCGGGCTCTGCCTCCGCCCGCCGCCGCAGCTCGGAGACGGCGCTGCGCACCCGCGGCGAGTGGTCGGGCAAGTCGTTGAGGCGCCCCGCGCCCGGCGGCCCCTGCGACATCCCGCCGCTGGCCGGCTCCGAGGCGACCGCGCTCACCCCCTCTGGTCCCATCGGCAACCAAGTGGCTGCGGAGCCCGCCGGGGGGCGGAGGCAGCCCGTTTGGGCTTAACCCTGAGCACCCTCCCCGGTCGGAGCGGGAAGGGGCGGAGGCAGGTGTGTGTGTGTGTGTGTGTGTGTGTGTGTGTGTGTGTGTGTGTGTGTGTGTGTGTGTGTGTGTGTGTGTGTGTGTGTGTGTGTGTGTGTGTGTGTGTGTGTGGGTGTGTGTGGGTGTGTGTGGGTGTGGGTGTGTGGGTGTGTGTGGGTGTGTGTGTGGGTGTGGGTGTGTGTGGGGGGGTGTGTGTGTGTGTGTGTGTGTGTGTGTGTGTCCGGCCCCGTCCGGCCCCGCTGCGGAGGTCACCTTTTGGGGTGATACTTTGATCTTTGGTTTGGGTTTTGTTTGGTTTTTCCCCCACTTTTATGGACTTGACCAGTTTTTAGCATTTTATGCCTTAAGAACATCTCTTTTGTTCTTAGCTTGCAGCTCCAAAAAGAAGCTGTGCCTGCAGTAACAGAGACATCTCTCTGTGTGGAGAAAAGATGCTGAAACTGAAGTCAGCTTCAGTCCAACTTTGCTGCCCGGCAGTGACTTCAGTTATCGAAGGTGAAGAGTGCATTGCTGCTATTAGTATTTTTATGATAAGCATTTCCATTGATCAGGTTTCCTTTGTGATCTCTCTGCCCTACTTAAGGCTTAAAAGCCTTACTTCATTTAACATACAATGTATAAAGCATACTTGGGCCTAATAAAAGGTTGACAAAACTTTGTTCAAGATTATCTTGCCCTTCTCTGGCTTTCTACATGTACACTTAATATTTTCTTACTTTTATCTTACTTAATACTTTTCAGTTGGTATTTTGGTTGTATCTAGTAATGTCCTGGACTCTTACAAACTGCTGAAATGTCTGCGGGTATCCCATTCAGTATTACAGATGTCAAAAAAGATCTGCCTAAGTAAATGCAGATAGTAAAAGTGGGAGGAGTAGGAATAATCTTACCAAAGAAAGAGATTAAAGCAGGAACTCAAGTGACTGACTGAACAGGAAATACAGGCTTAGAGGGACAAAGTGTTGCAGCAAAGGACAAGAACTGGGAAACCAATGGGTATAGCTGTCAAGGGTATGTAGAGGTGGATATTAGGGAGGTGTGAGGAAGTATAGACCTGCCCTATATCAAGAAAAAAAAGCAAGCTGGAAATGTAAGAAGACACAAAAGAGAACAGAACGTGGAGAGGGCAGCAAACAGCAAGTTGTGCTAAACCTTTCTGAACAGAGCTTCAGTGGGAAAAATGGCACGCAAACATGTAACCCAGCCACAGGTGGCAGGACAAACACAAAGGGATACCGCAGCAAGGTCAGACAGTGCTTTTAAACACCACTTCCTAACTTTTGAGCACTTAGTTTTGCCATCTCAGTATTGTAACAACTTACTGTGAAAACAAAAAGGGTGAGAAAATACAGATAACTTTTTATTTCACCTTTCAGCTGAGCAACTCACAGGTTTTAAATAGCTTTTCTACAAAATTCGGATTGTGATTTTGGCTTCAAATTTGACCATAATTAGTTTTAAAGGTGGTTTCAGTGATTTTTCTCAAGACTGAGTTACAAAAATATCTGTAAAGTTTCTATTAAAAATTCTGCAAGTGATCCTATAGTAGTAACACTAAGGAGAGCTCCTGTCTCTGACATGAAGAAAAACTTGGGGGTGCTGGTTGATGAGAAAAGGAACATGAGCAAGGCAGTGTGCGCTTGCAGCCCAGAAAGCCAAATGTATCCTGAGCTGTATCAAAAGGAGTGTGATCAGCAGGTCGAAGGAGGTGATCCTGCCCCTCTACTCTGCTCTTGTGAGACCTCACCTGGAGTATTGTGTACAGTTCTGGTGTCCTCAACATAAAAAGGACATGGAACTGTTGGAACAAGTCCAGAAAAGGGCCACGAGGATGATCAGGGGACTGGAGCACCTCCCGTATGAAGACAGGCTGAGGAAGTTGGGGCTGTTCAGCCTGGAGAAGAGAAGGCTGCGTGGAGACCTCATAGCAGCTTTCCAGTATCTGAAAGCGGCCTTTAGGGGTGCTGGGGAGGGACTCTTCATTAGGGACTGTAGTGATAGGACAAGGGGTAACGGGCTAAAACTTAAAGAGGGGAAGTTTAGATTGGATATAAGGAGGAAATTCTTTCCTGTTAGGGTGGTGAGGCACTGGAATGAGTTGCCCAGGGAGGTTGTGAATGCTCCATTCCTGGCAGTGTTCAAGACCAGGTTGGACAGATCCTTGGGTGAGATGGTTTAGTGTGAGGTGTCCCTGCCCATGGCAGGGGAGTTGGAACTAGATGATCTTAAGGTCCTTTCCAACCCTAACTATTCTATGATTCTATGATATCATCAAGGCTTCATACAGAGGAGCCAACATGTTGAATACTTGAGCCTTTACCAGAGCAGTTAAGACCTGTTGCAAGATGAGGCTTGTAGGTAAAGTTTTTGTTTTGTTTAATTACAGCTGGAAAAGAGCTCAAGTGCCTGAAAGCTCTGTCTAAATAAAACATTCCTGTATGCAAACTTTGCTCTGTTTGTATCCTTGGACCATGATGATTATTGCTGCAACGAAGACTAGAAATTGTGGCAGTCTCTCTTAGATGTTCCTTTTTGGTGTATTCTGGTGACAAACAGACTTTTTCCAGATAGCTGGAATTTGCCCTCCTTCAGCAGAAGCTTTACGTCTGTGTAAAACCCACATCATACTTCAACAGGTCTTCTGTGGCAAGTGTTCAAGAGTTGTGTAAGCAACTATCTTTGCCTACACTAGATTCTACAGTATAGATTGACTGCAAAATATATATGTGCCTGTGCTCCTTTCTTTTACAGGATATTATCAAAATCAGAAAAGATTTTTGAGTTTCAACCCTACAGTAGTAGTTGTATGTTCTTTCTCTGAAGGATACAGGTAAATAGAAGGACCTTGTATTTCACACACACACATTTAAGCTAGCTAGGATCAAGATTAAGCGTTAAACTTTCACAGGTGTTGAGCTTAATTTCAGTCACTGAGGGCAGCGGGTAGTCAGCATCTCTATAAATTAAGTTCTAGTTAACTTGCTTAAGCTTGTGCAAAAAGGCCATCATGGAATGTTTAATTGTTTCTAAGAATTCACATATTTAAAAGTATTAATGCAGAGGTTTTGGGAAATCAAGGCAATAATGGGGACAGTTCATTATAGGGTGCCAGATGGCTTGCTCTACCCTCTTGTCTTTCTCCTCAAAGTACACACCAGCTAAACCAAAATAACCCTACTCTAAAAAAAAAAAAAACAAAAAACAAAAACAAACAAACAAACAAAAAAAAAACAAAAAAACAAAAACAAAAAACTAAACCCAAAATGTTCAACTATTTAATTCTTCAAGATTATCACATACTTCTGGGTGGGCAGGCATTTGGGAAGAATTATGTTACCATTTATTAAATAGAGAGAAATGCAATTTAAAAAAATATTATTTCTCACTGTATTATTTATGTTTATGTAACCTCCCCCCCAAAAAACCCAACAAACATTCCTATATAAGGAAACTCCTGTACAAATGCAAGGTTCCAGTGAAGTCCAGAGCAGACATTCAAATCAGTAGGACTCACAGTTTGTCATGGAAGTCTGCTCTCTTAAAGTACTTTGGAATATTACTCTGGATAAGAGAAATCTTTCAAGCTAAGCAGAACTGAATTGAGAACCCATTACTGTATTTGTCGGCTGTTCATTTTGTACAGAAAAAAAAAAGGTGTATAATAGAATCATAGAATAGTTAGGGTTGGAAAGGACCTTAAGATTATCTAGTTCCAACCCCCCTGCCATGGGCAGGGACACCTCACACTAAACCATGTCACCCAAGGCTCCGCTCAACCCAGCCTTGAACACTGCCAGGGATGGAGCATTCACAACCACCCTGGGCAAACCCATTCCAGTGCCTCACCACCCTAACAAGAAAGAACTTCTTCCTTATATACAATCTAAACTTCCCCTGTTTAAGGTTAAACCTGTTACCCCTTGTCCTATCACTACAGTCCCTAATGAAGAGTCCCTCCCCACCATCCTTGTAGGCCCTCTTCAGATACTGGAAGGCTGCTATGAGGTCTCCACGCAGCCTTCTCTTCTCCAGGCTGAACAGCCCCAACTTTCTCAGCCTATCTTCATATGGGAGGTGCTCCAGTATCCTGATCATCCTCATGGTCCTCCTCTGGACTTGTTCCAACAGTTCCATGTCCTTTTTATGTTGAGGACACCAGAACTGTACACAACACTCCAAGTGAGGTCTCACAAGAGCAGAGTAGAGGGGCAGGATCACCTCCTTCAACCTGCTGGTCACACTCCTTTTGATGCAGCCCAGGATACGGTTGGCTTTCTGGGCTGTGAGCACACACTGAAGCCGGCTTATGTTCCTTTTCTCATCAACCAGCACCCCCAAGTCCTTCTCCGCAGGGCTGCTCTGAATCTCTTCTCTGCCCAACCTGGAGCTGTGCCTGGGATTGCTCTGACCCAGGTGTAGGACCTTGCACTTGGCATGGTTAAACTTCATGAGGTTGGCATCAGCCCACCTCACAAGCTTGTCAAGGTCCCTCTGGATGGCATTCCTTCCCTCCAGGGTATCAACCAAACCACACAGCTTGGTGTCATCGGCAAACTTGCTGAGGGCACACTCAATCCCACTGTCCGTGTCACTGACAAAGATGTTGAACAAGACCGGTTCCAACACCGATCCCTGAGAGACACCCCTTGTTACTAGAGTAATAGTTGCCATCCTTCTCTGAATCATAATGTAGGCATGCCTTAGAATAGTAGTGCTGAAGAGGTCAACTTTTCAATGTAACTGAAACCCCAAGGTGTAACAGGACTGGTTTTTGCAGTAAATTCTTGCTGATTTTTGTCTGAATTTCTCATGATCCGTCTTTCTTGTCTGTTTTCTTACTGGTGCTGAAAGCATTGCTCAAATCTTTGGCAAACCTCTTTCTACTGTACTAGACCTAGAAGTTTGTAATATACTCTCTGGCAGGGTTGGCTGGTGACTCAGCATCTTAGCGATAGCCTTTAAATGTCTTCCTCTATAGTATAATTCAGCAGTGTCAGCAGACAGTTGATGCTAGGCACATGGCAGGGAGCTTGTTTTTCATTTTACAGCACAATAGATGATTTGCAAAACCATCTTAGTGTAAAAAACCTAAATTTCAGTTAAGTGTAATTTAAGCACAGCCCAAGCTTCTATTTAAAATTAGCTTATTCTGCTCTGTAAGACACTGCAGTCCTTGGTGTGTGAAGAGATGATGAAAAACATTCATGGTCAGGAACTGGAAGGGTAACTCAAGGACTGAGTGATGAAGGGGAAATACTTTGATCCTGCTGTCTTGCTGTAGTAAGAGTATGAATCATCTGCAACAAACCATCCGCAGAAGTGTTGGTTTATTTACTGACAGATTTATGGGCATCCTCTCAATGTCTGGGCATGTTATAGAAGCAATATAAGGGCTAGCAAGAACCAGCCCTGTCACATGTCTTGGAGAACATGCATCACACTGTATGTGTTTAAAGAGAGGAAGGACTTCTGAAGTAAGTTCCTTAACCCTCTCTCCCTCTTTTCCTCCTTCAAATAAATCTATGCCCATACACAGGGAGCAGAATTTACGCATCGGCTATATGTTTAATTAAACACTTCAGGCTTTAATTTCACCTTTAACAGTTTTCCACCTATCACCTATAACTTTTAGTTGAAATTTAACTAATTTCACTGGGTTTTCATTGAAAAGCTTCTGTAAACTGGTGATGAGAGGGAGCAAAAAAACCCTCAAAACAACCAGCAAATACAACAGCTCTAGAGCAAATTTCTCATTATTCCTTGCATCTGTGTGTTTCACAACATCTGTCTGTGACCGTGTGTTTGGTCTGGCTGGCTGCAGTGTCCCTCCCTGGGACCTCTGCTCACAATTTTTTGCTGCTTTTGCAGCTTGTCAACATTTCCACTGTATAAGCACAGAAATGATAAAAGATACTAACTCAGGTTGCTTGGGCTGACAGCCACTGAAAAGCTGTGAGCAAAACCAACAAGCAGAATCAACAGGGTGAATATTTGTGCATTCAAATGCCTTCTCTCTCCTGCATGCATGCGTTCCAGCATATGGTTACTGCTTGCAGGGTAGCTGCAGCATCAGTGATCTATGGGTTATGATTTGCTGTAGCAAGTTCCCCTTTCCTTTGCCTTTAATGCCAAGTATTCCACCAAAGCTGTGTTGTTTCAAGGTGTGGTCCTCTGCTGGCTTGTACTGAACTTGATTGCACTCTGAGTGTACTTCATCCTGTTGACTTTTTTTTAGTCCTGTTTATGGTATGCAGGGTAATAAATGCAAGCCCTGGCACAGAAGCAGTATCCAGTGCCCTGACTTAAATTTTACCTTAATTGAAGTTGCACTAGCCAGAGAGTTAAGTGATGACTTTGTGATCTCAGGATGTGTCCATCTCAAAGCCCTGGACTGGAATTCTGTACTAAAATATGTCAAAAAGAAAAAAAGCACCAAAAATAAACAACATATTTGGCAAATAAGATGGCACTGCAGAGACTACTAAAAGCAATTTCCAGGGAATTAATTAGTACATGGTAAACTTTGTTCAATGGAGGTTGTGAAGCTTTAAAGACTTTCACCTCCCTCAGAAATCTGAAGTTTAAAGATTCTGAGTAAAGCAGAGTCAGACCTACTGCATACAGGAAAATGTATAGCGTAGATTCTCTGAGACACAGGTAAAAACATTTGCAAGCTGAAGCCTGTAAATAAAAACACTGAAAAGGGCAACTGCAACTACTGTAAAAAATTACCCAGGTGGACCATGAACACATTTGAGCATGCAGAAATATACAAACTAAGCATGCATGGTTACCTTTTGATTCCATGCCAGATAATCTGACACATTTTCCTGTCCTTCTAATATATATATATAAAATATATATTCAATATATATTCTATATATATTCTAATATATATGATCTAATATATATATATAAAATAGTCACAAAACAAAAAGAAGGACAGGAAAATACGTCAGCGAGCTAAATGCAAACTTTTTCTTGGGTCTTGTATTTTATTAGGGTTTAGGTTTTTATTTGGTCTGTGCTTTATATAAATCATCTCTCCGGATGAATTTAGGCAGCTGTCATTCTGCTTCTAAATAGGAGAGAATCCAATATATTATATTGTAAAACAGTAAGAGATACACAACACAGTCATAATGTACTTCTATTGAGCATGTAATAATGTTGTCCATTGCCTTGATGACATAAAGCTTCATGGGCCTGGTCATCAGTATTTTATTTAAAAAGGAGCCCGAGTATGAGAAGTCAAGTTAGAGCCACAGCCTATGGAGAGATTTCCATTCCTTCCTCCTGACATGGTACCTGTCCTGCTGGATCAAGATGAGATAAACCTTGGGGGTGACAAATACTATCCAGTATGACCAAGACTAGATAACAGTGTATCTCCTGCTGGTGGCATGTCACAGAGCCAATCTAGACTGAAGAACCTTCTACAGGGTAAGCACCAATGTTCAGTACAGCTGCTGCCACTGGGACACATAAAAATTTTTTGCCCTTTGCAAGGTAGCAAAATTGTGGCGATCCAGAGAACTAGTTCTAAATAAACTCTTTTGATGCCATTTCATAGGAAACATGTTTTTCATGAGCATTTTTGAAGCTACTATTTCACTGTTGGCTATTGGAAGTTAGCAAGTGACTGTTTTTAGATGATGAGACCAATGCAGCCTAGTTTCCAGTGGACCTGTGTTTCCAGCTCCATCCTCACCATCCTCAGCAGAGCAGTGCCAACTGCCTTGTGTGGTTTGTTCCTGAAGATGAGGGGAGACCCTCTGGCAGACGGTGGTGCTGTGCTGGCTGTGGCCAGCACACGTGTCAACCCATGATCCTGACTGGACAAGAGGGAAGTGAGGACAGCTGGGCTCATGCTGTAGTTCTCAAGGGGAGGCAGAAGGTCAGCTCTGCCCTTTCTCCAATCATTATACTTTGTAATGACTTAATACCTTTGGGCCTTTTCCTTTCTGTCAAATGTAGCCAACATTAGCTG